TTATTAAACAAACAAAAGTAATAAAAAAAATTGAAGTCAACAAGTGGAGAAATTCTTATTTTTTGTGTCATTCTCACTTTGCTATTATTGGTTTCCATGTCACGATCAAAAATATTTTCAATATCATATATCTGAAATCCAAGGACTTGGCTGCATAAAAAAAAATAGAAAAAAGTTTAAAAAAAATTTCCAAATTTTTTTATTGTAATAAAATAAATTATAAATTATAAATTTTATCAATTTAAATTCTAATTTTTTTAATTTATTATTAGTCTATTTTCGTTAAGTAATAGTGATGAAAAAAAAATAATATTTTAGTTATTAAATTCAATGAAAATAGACATTTTAGACATTTTTCGTATACCTACACTAAGTATAATAATTAAAATACTATTTTTCAATAAATTTTACATAAAAAAATAGATAAATAGTTTAGATGAAAAACAAATCAAAATATTAGGTTTAAATTGATTAAGTTAAAAATTCAGTATTTATTTTATTACAAAACTCAAAATTTAGAATTTTTTTTTATAATTATTTCAAAAAAATAAAAAATAAAATTATTATTAAACCATATTGTAATGGTAAGTTGATGTATTAAATAAATCAAAAATGTTAAAAATCTCAAAAATTTTATCAAATGTGGTGTGGGACCCCACTTAAGACCCACATATAAAATATTTAATAAAAATTTTGGTAGAATTTTTGGATATAACATTACTCTAAATAAATAATCTTGGATGTAACGTAATGTGGTCCTCCATGTGAGTTTTTATTATATGCTTCGCCATGCACTATAATATAATTACAGACCAATCATACAATCATTTCATGGTTTGGATGTTGTCCTCTTAAACTTTTGTTTTATTTTATTCAAAATATAGCTCCCACAAATAATTTTTTTATTTATATTGTACGAAAATTATTAAGTATTCTTATATGATATAATACTATATGTTGAATTGTTTATATTTTTTGAAAATGAGGAACTGTAAAATACACGTAATAAGTGATCTTTATTAATAGATAATTTTGAAATATCATGTGATATTTTTATATTATATTTTTTAATTAATGATAAATCATAACACACTCTCTATACACAATGTCAAGGAATATTGTAAGATTAGTGAATAATTATCTCGTCTTATCTTTCAACTATCTAATAATAGTGTGTTAGTATTGCCTTTACTATGTCATTCGTAACTGCAACATAAACAATATCACATGATATGTTCTAAAATTACTAAATAATCATCTCCTTCTGTACCCATATATACTCTTATTTTTTATGTTAATTAGTAAAAATAAAATCACGACAATCATGCCCATATTTATTTTTAAGTAAATATTAAAGAGTAAATTATACTGACTTTCTTTGAGATTTGAAAAAAAAAATATAACAAGTTTCGCTATTTTGTTATAATTATATTAGGTTTTTTTTTAAGATTTTAATTCATATAACAATTAATTCTATTTTCATTAATAATTCATTAGTAATATGGTTGAAAAATAATCCATTATTTATCTTGTATTTTCTCATATTTACATTAAAAATTTCGGTATCTTTAATCTTATTAAAAGGGAGACTAGCGTAATAATACTAAAACTATACAGCTTGACATATACATATTTTTAAATCTTAGGAGAAATTGATATAATTTATTCAAAATAAAGATATGACTGTCTTTTTACTCTTTAATATATGTATAGCAATACTACCCAAACCAAAATACATTAGGAGGAATATTATTCATAAAAATAATCTTGTCTGATTTGCACTAGTTTGTGTAATTACTGTACATGTTTAATATCAATATGAGATTAAAATAAAGTTTAGTCGAACGTCTTTCGCAATCAATAATAGGAAACTTAAGAATGCAACTCCCAAATGATCAATTATTTTGTGGACAGAAACTTAGAAATTTGTTTATTACCCATCATTCAAAATATTTTATTGAAGTCTTATAATAATAATAATACATACGTACGTACGTACATACTTACATACATGCATACATATATTCAACCTCTTCAAGAAATGCTCAACTGAATGGTGCTTCAGGCCAGAGGTATCCAAGACTCAAGAAGCTCAACATATAGGGTTGTTTGGTACAATTTATTTGAAATGCTTACAATTTTTAAATTTTTTTAAATTTTTATTTTAAGAATTTGTGTCAAACTATTTGTCACAACTTCTGTTTATTAGGTAGACACATATTACATCAGTTGAAAAAAACTTATTATATGTGAAAGTTGTAAAAAAATGTTAATACTTATGTGTTTTTATTATTATTTTTTAACTTATAATAAATTACATGCACATCAGATTAATGGAGCAATTGTAGGTGCATAGAAGTGTATGAGAAGGAACAATACATGGGCTGATATTATGCCAAATATATTCCTTTCTAGATCTCTACTTATTATATATAATATATTAAAATTTATGTGTTTGTTGTGGATTCCCAGTTAGAATGAAGCCAAGAGGGTTTTGAAACCAAAAAAGATGTCATCACAACTAACATGTTTCCTGTCTAAACTATTATCAATAATGTTGTGGAGTATGAAAATTAGTTTGAAAAATAATTATAGAAAATGAATTTTGTGAATATTGTATTTATTGTAAGTGTGAATCACATTATATTAAATTTGAATCCATGTTATACTTTAATTTTTTAATATTTACTCTATAACCTATAATCATTACAATCTTTTTCTCACAAAAGTTTAAAAAATCAAAAAGTCTATCCCAAACAAGACTTTTTAGCTTCAAACTAAAATAACAAAAAGCAAAAATGTCAAAAAACCAACCCGGTTTCCAAATAAACTCAAAATGAGTAGTGCTAATAGCACCCACACTTATTCATTGAACCCTACACCTTTCCATCAAATTTTTTTATTACAATTATATCCTATCATAAAATTTCATTTCTATTCTTATCCCTAACCATCTCTCTTACCCCAATTGCTACCCACCATCAACCACCACCATTTCCAGTTGCCACCCCTTGCCCCTCCCTACCCTTCCCTTCTCTTGCCACCCCCATTTCCTTCCCACCAGTCCCAGTGGTGGGGAAGGCTATGCGTTGCAATTTGCATTGGTATGGAGAGAATGGGGACAATCAAAGCTCGTTGGGACTGGTTGGGTAGAGGTAGTGGAGGAAATGAGGAGCAGGGGTGGTGGGGAGGAGAGGAGGGGCTGAGGAAGGGCAGGAAAGGGGTGAGAGGGATTGGAAGTGATGTAGGAGATGGGAAGAAGCGCCTAAGAATAGGGAGGGGCTGCTGGAGGTGGTGGTTGTTGAAAGTGGGAAGGTTTAGGATATCAATCCGGTTGAGAAAAGAGTATAGCTAAGATTAAGGAGGGTATTGAAGGAAAAAAAAAAAACAGAAACAAAAATTGGGAACAATTTAATGTGGGTGGCATTAACATAACATGTTCAATGTTGTAATTCCAACCTATGGCTTACATGGAGAGTTTGTTGTACGACAGAAATGTATTCAATACAATGAACAGTTCAACTATTGTAACCAAATAGGTACATACATTTTTTTTTTCAACAGTCAGGGGTATCCTGACCAGCTTTCAATCTAAAAAATTAATTTCTTACGGCCTAGTCCCAAGAATTAAATTTTGAGCAATTATGTAGGAAATGCATTCACCAACCACTTAGAACAATCCTCAGAGGGTTCCATACATATGTAATAGAACTAACGAAGAGATATGAAACACAATCTTTGTATTTTAATATGTACAAAACAAACTCTTGTGAATGGCCAAACATTCTGTTATAATTAACACCTGTTAACATCAGAGATGTCAGAATACTAGTGTATTCTTCTACCATGAAGCTTTTTTTTTTTGTTTTGAACTCTCTCTGGAGCTATTTTGCTTTTGCGTTTGCTTTTGATTTTCCTAATAGTAAGGGTCTAAACTTGTGAGTCTCCTTCCAAAAGAGGAACCTTGTCCTCTGATGAATCCATGGTGCCATCATGATGATGACGATCAATGTGTGTTTCATCTGCTCTAATTTGTCCCCACATCACTGTATAATACCCCATTCCAACTATGGCTAAACCCAGAATGCTGCATAATTTAAACAAGAGAAAAAGGAAACATTAATCTACATTTCAAAAAAAATCAATGTAGTCCCATTTTTCACATTAGTGATCCTCTGTCTCTAAAATTTTATATTCATGTCTCCAATATCTTTTCATATGCATAATTGTGTTTTGGAATTCCTGTATTTTAAGATTCTCAACATATTGCAGAGCAAAGAAGCACGGACACTTCTAAGAAGGTGACGTATCCGTGTCGTGTCTAGGGATGCCAATTTGAAACCGGCCCGACGGGGATCCCCGATCCCGACCCCGATTTAAGCGGTTTTTCCTCGAAAAATACCCCCGGCGGGGAGAAGACGGTATCTGAAAATCAAACCCCGATCTGTTTCGGGCCGGGGACGGTGATCAGTGTTTAAGCCCCGGCCCGGCCCGATCCCCGGCCCCGGCCCCATCCCCGAATTTCCCCGAAGTGAAATTACTTTTATACCCCTAAAACCAAATCTATGTTTAACTCACTCTGATATATCTCTCACACTCACTCTCTATCTCTAACTCTGATATCTCTCTCTCATCTCTCACTCTCTCGTTTCAACTCTCTCTCTCGTTGTTCTCTCTGGCCCCGACCGCCCTCTCTCTCACCGACGGCGACGCCACCACCACCGCTGCCCCGACCTCCCTCTCTCTTACCGACGGCGACATCACCACCACCGCTGGTCTCTCTCACCGACGGCGACATCACCACCACCGCTGGTCTCTCTCACCGACGGCGACATCACCACCATCGCTGTCTCTCTGTTAGATCTGTCTCTGTGTGTGCGTGTGTGATCTAATCCGTGATTACTATTTAGATCTGTAATTTTTTTTTGTAAATTTATATCTGTCTCGTTGTTCATTTAGATCTGTGATTATTATTTAGATCTGTAATTTTTTTTGTAAATTCAGATCTGTAAATTTAGATCTCTCTCTCGTTGTTCTTCATCTGCTCTAATTTGTCCCCACATCACTGTATAATACCCCATTCCAACTATGGCTAAACCCAGAATGCTGCATAATTTAAACAGGAGAGAAAGGAAACATTAATCTACATTTCAAAAAAAATCAATGTATTCCCATTTTTCACATTAGTGATCCTCTGTCTCTAAAATTTTATATTCATGTCTCCAATAACTTTTCATATGCATAATTGTGTTTTGGAATTCTTGTATTTTAAGATTCCCAACATATTGCAGAGCTAAGAAGCACGGACACTTCTAAGAAGGTGACGTATCCGTGTCGTGTCCGTGTCGGACACCGATACTCTTCAGATACTTCCCCGACACGTGTTCGACACTTCTCAAAATGTGTCCTATTTTTTAATTTTTTTTAAAGATCCGGACACTCTTTGGACACATGGAGGACACATATGTTTATCGCTTAAACACACGTGTCCATGAATTAGACACAGGTGAATCTAATTATAAGTTTGAACAAAATAATTTAAGATACAAAATAAAACAAAAACCATATAAATTTATAGGAATTAGTGTCATATTGCATTTTTCATTATCTTTGAATGATATATCCATATATAAAACATATAATAAATTTATATAGAATTATATATTTTATGCATGTCCCCCACGTGTCGTGTTTTGCATTTTTTGAAAATTAGCGTGTCGGCAGGTCCGTGTCGTATCCATGTCGTGTCGCGTGTCTGTACCTATGCTTTTTAGGTTAATACTAATGAAACTCGAATTCGAACTTGGCTCAGTTCGATTTTGTGTCTATATTTTCATATGTGACCATAATCAGTTAGGATTTGGGGTCTGATGTGCCCTTCACTAGGCCCCATCCCAAGGCCTTTTCTATAATCTGAATCGTTCACTTGTAATGTCCCAATAGCTTATGTAAAAACATAGGTCAATTAGATATCGATAATATGATTGGATCATATTTGTCTTAATAACAAATGTGATCATATCAGAATAGATCAAGTGACTACAAATACCTAATTAAATTGATTCTCTACATGGATGGTCTTCTCAATGAGCCCTACAATATAAATGGTTTAAGCCATATAATTGAGCCTGGAATGAACCCACCAAAGAGATAGTGTGGACCCCTCATCCTATCAGTTGAATGATCGAAACTTATGCTCAATTTGGCTCATTGGAATGGAATAAAATGGTCATTTCTTAGCCTCCTTATAGAATGATCATTCTCTGGTTGTGATAATTCCATTTAAAATGTATTTTTTAAAAGGAGAATGCTATGATGTGCAAGTGCATATTATATGGACTTTATGCAAAAAACATTACTTTTCTCACAAAATTTATAACTTTTGTCATAAAAAAATATAACTTTTTACTTCTCCTAAAATGTATAACTTCTCTTACAAAAAGTATAACTTTAGTTATACATGACTTTTAAATGCTCATCATAATTTCAAAATTCATAACTTTCATCATAAAAAATCATTACTTTCATTTCACAAAATATATAATTTCTCTCACATTGTAACCTCTCCCTTTTGGAAATCCTTTTTTAATTAGCCAAATATCGAAATTGAATATTTTGATTGAATGATCATTCTATTCTATTTTCATTTCAATAAATTAAACACTGCTTATATAGGAAATATTTACCTGCCATAATGGAAGCTATCTGCGAAGAAGAAACAACCACAGAAGGTTGCAATGGGAATCCCTAGTGGCTTGAACAATGGCACATAAAAAGGGCCTTTCACCTCCATGCACCATTTCTGAACTCTGCCGCGAATTACACTCACAAACACAGCCTACTAATGCAGCATGAATATTGTTCGTTAGTTCAAATCTTCTATCGTGTATTAAGGGTTGTTTGGTAATTTGACTTTTAGATTCAAAATTAAAAAATCACAGTACTTCTCCACGATTTTCTATACAATTTAAAAAATCATTCTTAATCATATTAACCCTTTTCATCTAAAAAAAAAATTAAAGTCAAATCCCAAACAAATCCTAAGTTTAAACTTTGAAATGTGCTATGGGCTTACTGTTAAAACAATGACTAGGAGTTCCATATAAAGCTTCACTCTCCAAGCACTTGGATTTCTCTCCATTATCATTGATGATATCACAGTTTGGATTGTCCCAACTGCCGTATAAACCGAGGTTATTTTCGTCACTTCTGGGTATTGTTTGACAGCTCCAACCTGACTTACAAAATAAATAAATAAACAAATAAAATTTAATGCTATATTTGTTCGGAATTACTTACTGCAAAGAAGGAAATTGTTCTCATGTTTCTTAAAAAGAAAAACTATATTTAGTAGAATTTATGACGAGACTAATGTATTAGTGGTATTGTTTAAAGGGTTGGACTTCCTTCTACGCTACATCTAGATTGAAAAGTGTTGTTCTGGTCTATGGGATCCTTACAATTGTGGATATTATCTATACAAAAAATTGGGTTGATCTAGTAATTGTAGTCTGTTTAATTTATTGTGTTTATGACATTCTATTTTTAAAAACAAACTTCTGATCTATTTCTTTATAAACAAATATAATAAATTATAAGATCGGCCTATTTTTTTTTCTTTCTTCTGTAGACAGTATATACGAAGAATCTTACAAAATAAACAGTTCAAATTATCGAAACGAAATGCTTGGTTACACCATGGGTTCAAACAACACCCTTCAATCCAGATCTTGATTTTGGATTGGAGGGAAGCCAAACCCTTCTGAAAACTTAATGCTATTAAAAAAATGTTTAAGTTTAGTTTCCCAATTTATTTGTTAATAGACACAATTTAAAAATTAGAAGACTAAATTGAAATATATTTTATACACTAAGGACTACTTGACATAATTTAAACATTGGGGATTAAATTGAAACACGTTTATACATTGGAGATTAAATTGACACAATTGAAATATTAAAAACTAAAATAATACAAGACTTACACTTTGGAGACTAAAAATATAATTAACATTTTAAAAATTATACCTGAATAATGTTCCATACTGAGAAAGCTAAGGAAGCACGTGCAAGCAAAAATGGCACCAAGAACCCAATGTTCATGTGTTGAGGATAAAACAAAAAGGAATGAAGAATATGAATTTTTGCTAATCACTGGTCATTGATATTAAGGTGCCTATTATTGTGAGTCGATTTCTTGTGCCTCTCCAGTCAAACTTTGTACCCCTACAATAATAATAATTCATATATTTCATGAAATCAATTGGTAAAAATAACAGGAGTCTAAAAGTACAAAAGATTATTTTAGTATAATAACTTGGATAAATAACACTTTCATCCTTAAAGTATGAACACTATTCTCTGGTCTTTACAGAAAAGATGCTCTCACCGTCCTTAAACTATCACTTTGATCCAAATTCTAACGACAATTACATCTTTGTGATAGAAGTAAAGTAAATTACATTTTTACTCCGAAAGTATGAGCGTTTGCCCACTTATGTCCCCAGGAAAATAGATTCCCACTTTCGGTCCTTAGAAATTTTTTTTTCCCACTTTGATGCCTGACACCAAAAAAATGATCTAACTCAAAAAATAAAAATAAAAATAAAATAGTTTCTCGCCATCATAAGGAGTTTTACGTGAAGAAGTGCTATACTAATATTGTTTTTAGTTGAGAGATTTGAGAAGAGATTTGAAAAAGAAACTGGAAAAGAAAGGTGGAATGTAAATCAAATATATCTATATTTTACTTAATTTTACACGCCTTTTCTCTTTTCTTTTCTAAATTTCTTCCCAAATCCCTCAACCAAACACAGCGTGAGGAGTTTTTTTTAGAGGATAAAACAAAAAGGAATGAAGAAAATGAATAATAATTTGGATAAATTACACTTTCATTCTTAAAGTATGAACACTATTCTTTGGTCTTTACAGAAAAGATGCTCTCACCGTCCTTAAACTATCACTTTGATCCAAATTCTAACGACGATTACATCTTTGTGACAGAAGTAAAGTAAATTACATTTTTACTCCTAAAGTACGAGCTTTTGCCCACTTATGTCCCCAGGAAAAAATATTCCCACTTCGGTCCTTAGAAAAAAAATTTCCCACTCTGATGCCTGCTACAAAAGAAATTATCTAACTCAAAAAAAAAAAAAAGTTTCTCGCCATCGCTAAGGAGTTTTATGCTAAGGAGTGTTACATTAAGGAGGTGTTTTTAGTATTACATTTAGAAAAAATATAATAAGGAGTTTTTTTGGAGTGTTACATTAGAGTATTACGTTTGAGTGTTATATTAGAATGTTACAGATTGAAATTATGCATTTGTTCAAAACTTTCTAAGGAGTTTCTATACTCCTTTTGAAATATTTAGAGAATTTCACATCCTTTTGAAATGTTTGAATAATCCCATATTTCAAGTCATTATTGTATTTCTTTTGAAATATTTGAAAAATCTTACATTTTAAGTCATTCTAATAAAAAAAAGATTCTTGTATAAAAATTCATTCCAAATTTGATTACCATAAATTGTGTATTGTACCTTTCTAGCTCGCGCGCGCGTGCACACACACACACACACACACACACACAAAAAAAAAAAAAAAGAGCAAAAGAAGAAGAAGAAGAAGAAGAAGAAGGAAATATAGTAGAAATAAGGGTATAATTGTAAATCTAATTTTTAAATAATATATTAAATCTATTTTTCCAAAATCAATGGGACTAATTGGTCTATAAGAAAACTCTTAAGACTAATCGGATCATCATTTTTCAATATGAGATTTATAAGTAAATTCTCGTTATTGGGACTCTAAAGGTCTACTTACTTCAGTTTCATATGAAGTTTGAGATATTTCTCATCTTATCAAAATGCAAATAGTATAACAATAAAAAATGCTAGAGATTTCAAAAAAAATTCACAATACTAAGATCCACAATTACGTGTGTATTGTGTAAAATTTTTGATAATTAGTTTAAGTCTCCAGCATTTTAGATAACAAAATACAAAAATTATAACAATAGAAAGATAAAAGATAGGGAAAACCTGAGAATAATAGAAATCAAGAAGGAAAAGGTAGGGATCAAATTGCCCATTCCACATGCAAGAATTGGGGAGCTATAGCTTAACCCAACAAACGCCAGGTTTTGTGCAATAGTTATCCTACAAAACAATTACATCAAATTAAAGCCAAACATCTAACATTTTTTTTTTAAAATCCCAAAATATTTATAATTGTTAGATCATTAAGAATCTTAAGATGTGGGAATCTTGAGATATAATTCGATGATTGTGAACTTTTAAAACAATGAGACAAAGATTTGAAGACACAGTTTTTATACCAAGCTAATAGAGAGATTCATTGAATTGCAAGAAAATTTGTAATTTGCTAAAAAATTCCAATGGTACATGTACGAGCACGAAATAATTCTTCTCGTATAACCCTGTTGATCAAGTCCGCACTCCTCCAAACGTCGTTACCTTATTCCTTGAAAACACAAACGTGAGCTAGTCGGTGGGTGTATGCTGGATACCTCTCCGATGCCTAAGTCAGCAAAACAGACAAATAGACAAAATCTCTGTATAGTCTAGAATCAAAGTTGTGTTACCTCTCCATAGATGATGTTATGAGCTTTTGTAGGTTCCGCGTGGCACAATCCTAGTAAGACTCTTACTCCTCCATGTAGAGTCTTTTTAGGAATTACACTCCTGAAAGATAATGCTTATCCTTCACCACCTCCCCTCACTGTTTAAACCAAGTGAGATGGTTTTACCACGGTTGGATGTCAATATGACCGAGCTAACATGGCCATGCTGAAGCCGCAGGCTAGACCGAACTCCAACTAGCTCAATTCTTCCTTTCACTGCGTGTACCTCGGTTTGACATACTCCAACCGGGCTGTTTCCTTAATACCGAGCCAACCAAGTACGAAGTAGGAGTTAGCTCGGCACTCAAGCCCACAATACCAAGCTAGCTCGGCTCTCCCAAGCACAATGCCTAGCTAGCTCGGCTCATACGCTAAGTCTTTTAGACCAAAGTAAATCTGCTTTTACCTTGGTCCATCCTATAGCCCAATTAACAAAGAAGTTTCCTAATTAGCTCGGCCCAATATAGACATAAATTACCCTCTTAATTGCCCCTTAATTCCATCTGCATAGCATGATTGGGATAACATGTTTCCAGCCGAGCTAAAATTTTAGCCTTTCAACCGAGCTAAACTGTGGTCTTCAACCAAGCTAAATTTACATCGGGCTATTTATCTGTCCGGTCAAAAACGTCTCTTCAGACGCTGTCATTGAATCGCTTTCTATTCCATGTACATGTGGCAGACTCTCATTGGCCTAGTGTAGCTGTCACGCCGTCCTCGTACCTCGCGAATTTTGAACAGTCTTGCTTTTTTTCCTTCCATTTTCACAAAACAAACCCTTATGCTTCGAACCATTTCACTTGCACTATTCATCTTCTCTCTCTCTTGCTTGAGCATCTATTTCTGCAACCTTTGTACCTGTGAAGCTTGCATTTTCAACACCATCTTTGTGGTTTCAAATCGACATCCTTCCTTCTTCCATCTATAAGTAACTCAATCCTCTTTTGCTTTCCATTTGACTGGCAACATGTACCATTTGTATATACGTGTTTTCTCACAACACTTTTCAAATAGTTTTCTCTGTAATGAGTAAGAACTTCTTGAATGGTACTCACACCTACTGGATTTGAGAACAAACTGAAATGGGATGTTTTTAGATCCAAAATCGCACTCCAACCGAACTAGGAAGTTGTTTGTATTAGGTGCGAACCTAGCCGAACTAAACAACCAAACTAAAACTTCACGCCATACTTGTAGTTTCAATAGGTCTAAGCATTTTCTGCCTCACTTTAGCCGAGCTAGCGAACTGTATTAGGTTTGCGCAATGTCGTACTAGAAAGCCCCAACCATCAACCGAGCTATAACTTGGGGCTAAACTAGCTCCCTGACTTAGTCAAAACCAAACTAAGAATGCTGCCCCATAAGTTACAACCGGGCCACGAACTTCACATAACTTAACCGGGCTAAAGTCCCTTGCTCAAACCAGGCTAAGAATGGATAGTATTCCATGTAGCCGAGCTAAGACATCATTTATTTTTCCTTTTTTTCTTTTAGCACGATCCATCGATTTGTGCTTAACACTTTTTCCTTTGCACTTTGCAGACTCTGACTAGGTTGCCCAGGCACTCCTTTGAACGTCCAACTGAGATATCCATCGTCATCTCAGCACCGAGCTAGCATTCCAGCTTATTTATACATAATTTAAGACCTCATGGGTAAATATAGGTTTTTAGTAAACTCACCAGGGGCTATGGCCGAGTTCCGAAGGGACTACTGTATCCCTGATGATGTCCATCTTACTTTAGCTGAACTAGACACCACACCCTGGGGAAACCCAGGCTTCGTTCCCTTCACCCTTCTTTTCATTGTAGAAACCGGACTCCGATTCTCTGTTCAGCCTATTCTTTGTGAGTTCCTTAGGCAAACAAACCTCTACCTTACCCAACTTTCAACAAACTCATACCGAATAATAAATGGCATTGCCGAGCTAAACCGTCGGCTTGGCCTCAACCTTGGTTTGGCCGAGCTATTTCACCAGCACTCTCTAGGCCAAAATGAGGACGACTGGGTTTACTATTTAAGAATAAGGCGCTGCTGTGAAAAGATAATAAAGAATACCCCAGACAAAGATGTAAACGACGATGATTTTTTTTGGGTTTCTGGAAATTTTGAAGACCATGAGGCCCAGATCCCAAGCGACCGAATAAACTGGAACAAAGGAGTCGCCAGTATAATTACCTCGGCTTAGTTTCATGTTTTTCTTTACTTTGTTGCTTATTTTCAACCGTACTAACCGTTGTCTTTTCCCTTTTGCAGAGTTAAACTTTCTAAAGTCCTAGTACAGCTATCTCAACCTTGGCGTACTCCGTACCGCACTAAGACATCCCGACCGAAGTTGGGCCGAGCTACTCAACTTTGAGCCGACGTACCGATACAGTAACAAGAGGAAAACCAGAGTGACAGACTTCCTCTTGGAGCCTTCTCCTAAACCTGATCCAACATTGCCTCAAATCAACCTGATC